TCTGACTAACATTACAAAAAATTGCAATGATGTGGTGCACATACACTCATCTTACTGTATCCAATAATATAAAACTGGTCTTTACAAAGTGACCTGTCTTGGCTTTGTCGTAGTGGACCAGTTTTTTGCAATTTATGGTCACATTTCAGATATAATTCATTACATATGTATATATATTATTACTATATATTTATAAATAAGTTCTTAAATTTCAATTATTTCTCTTAAAACATAAAATAGTAAATAAAGAAATATAGAAAACGATGATCTCTACTATTTACGATTGTAAAGAAGTTTGTACTTGCTTGCCTTATCTTGTATGGTAAGCCTTGCCGAATTTCACACGTGAAAAATGTAAAACAAAATAATTTTTTTAAGTTTTATTTATGCATTTTTAAATAACCAAATATTATAAATTACTCTCTCAATATTACAAAATTCCACGCTAATTTATCAGGCTTACTGAAAATTATATTTGGGTCTAAAAATATTGTTTTTCAAACAAAATTTTCACTTACCCCTTCCTTCCGAGATTCAAATCAAAAGAAATAATCTCGGGAACTTCCCACTTTCAAGAGCCTAAGAAAACTACATGAGAGACATTCTGAGCTTTTGAATGGTTATAAACTCATGACAGAGCGAAGCGGGTGATGAAAGGAAGTATTTCCAAAACTGGAATAGGTGGGCGAGGCCACTACGTTTGATTCACTAAATATAGCTATATCCTAGCAAATAGAAAAGATAGGAGGTTCTTATCTTATATTCTAGATTGTCAATATCGGTAATTTGAGTTTCTAATTCATGATAAACTATAGACTTCATATTTCAATGTCACAAACATCTAACTTGAACCAAAGCTGCACTCAACATACCACATGACATACAGAAATCAATATTTAGGATTTTTTTTTAATATTTATTTTTAAACTAAGAAATTAGATAATGTATAATAATAAAATTTGAATTATAATCTACAAGGTGATACCAAACTTATTGGCATACATTCATTAAATGTATAAAACATATAAAATTAACCTACACAAGCAGGGGGAATAAAGCTCACAAATCTTTTGCCCATTGTCCCTCAGTACCACAATATCTTTAAGCAGTATCTCTCCACTACAAACCAAATGTGAAAATCTAAGGACAGTATCAATAATCATCTTCACTTTTCGAAAAACACCATCATGCCATTTCATTTCTTGATTTTGAACTGTAAGAAAATATATGTGTGAATACATATATAATTTTTTTTTCTACATCAGAACCTTAGTAAAAAATATTAAAATCTAAAGTAAATGTTAAATAATATTTGATCCAAGGAAATACAGCTTAAATTGAATTTTTAAAACAAATATTTGCAGGTACTTCAAAATAAAAAATAAGGAAACATTTGTTCACATCTCAGGTGGAAGAAAAAATAAAAAACTGCAATTCTTGAACTGAAGTTACATTTTCCAACCAAAGAATAAATGGCACCATAAACAATGCAAAGTATCAAAATATACATAATAAAAATATATTAACCCTAAACTACCAATGGAAGTTCACATACCTAACTGATTTGTTAAACACTTTTTGGAGCTATTTGTTATTAACTGCTTGTGATTTATGACCGTATTTATGGAGTTCCTACTAACCTTTGAGTCAAAAACAATTAAGCAAAAATAATAAATATATTGAAGTTAATCCCACTTATATCTGCTGAGGTACTCTACGCAATTTACATATAAATTAATGATTTCACTGAATCACAGGCTAAAACATAAAACTTCTCAATATAAAATAAAATGTAAATCTTATTGGTAGTGAATAATATAAAAAGCAAGCAGATAATATGAAAGTTAATTACTTATATTACTTTTCAGAAATAAAAACGTCATAATATACATGTAATGATGCATTTGACACATAATTTTAAATGTTAAATTCACAACAAAATTATTTGTTCACTCCCAAAAGTTAACATTTTCCTAAACTGAAAAATTTAATTCTAATCGATACTTACCTTCTCTCACAAAACAGCTTTTCTCGATTAGTACTGTCCTCTATTGGCAAAACT